CTGTTGGCCCCAGAGTCAAGGTCAGACCCGCTAATCCCGCACTTGGGCATCCTCTCTCACAGGGAGTGATAGTGAAGTAACCATTTTCTCAGGAATATTGTCATTCAGGTACAGAACCTCCACCAGGACCAAGCTGTGACCTACCATGGAAGGAATCCCTTTTCAATGGCGTTAACCTGAATTTCATAAGCATTATTCTCTTCAAAATCTAGTTCCCTGTGGATTCTAATTTCACCTGTACCTGGATTAATTGAAAACTTGCAGTTCTCACTCACTGGCAAAATCATTCTGATTTCACAGGAAATTTCCCCATTCAGGCCTTCGTCCAGATCCAAAGCATTTAGTTGAATTATTCTACTGTTGTTTCTGACATTTTCAAACAATACTGCTTTATAACCAGGCTTATCAAACTCTGGAGCGTTGGCATCACATTCAGGATGGTTTTGCAATCTGAACAATCCTGTTAGCTCCGGTTTACCACCATCAATGACCATCAGCAATAAATTAAGTTCGGGGGTTTCCTCTCTGTACAATAACTTCGGAAGAATTAACTCAGGCAATGTGCTTTTATCTTTGTTTTTGCTGTTGTTGTTTGAAGTGCAAAATGCTCCTTTAAACTTAATGTATAAGTTAGGAGAGAGTTTATGCCAAAATCTGCATCAGAAGAGCCTTCTAGAAGAAACTGTGTCCAGAGGTGCAGATTCAGACCTTATGCTGTTTTTCTCTGAGCACTGGAGGGTTGTCATTACTGTCCTTCACCTCCACCTCCACATGGAAAACCTGCAGCGGTCTGTCCACGATCACCTCCGGGTGGATGCTACACTCCGCACTCCCCCTGCACAGTTCCTCCCGGTGGATCCGAGAATTCACAAACAAAATGCCATTCTGCAGATTTACCTTTAGAAGGTCCCTGCTATCCTTGGACCCCACCCGGAACAGGCGTGGCACCAATTCTGTTATTTCCAGCCCCAGGTCCTGCGTGATGCCGCCCACAAAGGTGCGGTGCTTGGCCTCCTCCGCGACTGAGTAGTGAAGCTGACCGGTTCCCCCTTCCCTGGCTGCCAGGAGTAAAAGCGAGAGCAGCAATTGCAGGAATCAGTCCTCCACTCTATAAACACCATTGCAGACAGTGAAGGCCGTTTTAAAGGAGAGCATACATGAGATTTTTATGACCCTTTATGTACCTATTTAATAATTCCTGACCTGCGTTCCAGTCAATATGGAGTTGACCCTATATGTGAATGGTTGGTAACTATGTGCACAGACAGAATTTTCCTTCTTCACCTTTTGAGTGTATAGCGACATATGTGACTGATTATGTAAATACAAGAAAAAGAAGAGAGGTTCTTTGGGGTTAGCCATTTCTTGGTCTCTCTAAATTCTATTTTGGATCATTTCATGGATCATTTGTGAATGATCCTATTTAGTTAACCTATATGTTATTAGCAACGAAACAAAAATGCCTATGTTGTAGTTTGAAAACATTTTCTGCTTCAAAGTTTATCATTAAAATAACCTTTGATATATATATACTCAATGGAATATTACTCAGCATTAAAAGAGAATAAACTCATGGCATTTGCAGATAAATGGATAGAGTTGAAGAATATAATGCTAAGTGAAGTTAGCCAATCCCCCAAAAAACAAAGTGCCAAATGTTTTCTCTGATATAAGGATGCTAATTCATAATGGGGATGGGGGGCAGCGTGGGAAGAATAGAAGAACTTTAGATAAGGCAAAGGGGAGAGAGGGGAAGAGAGGAGGCATGGGGGTAGAAAAGATGGTGGAATGAGACAGACATCATTACCCTAAATACACATATGAAAACACTAATGGAGTGACTCTACTTTGTGTACAACCAGAGACATGAAAATTTGTGCTCTATTTGTGTGATATGAATTGAATTGCATTCTGCTGTCATCTATAACAAATTAGAATAAATAAAATTTTGAAAAACCTTTGAAAATAAGGCATAAAAGAAGTTACCCTTTAACTATTATGGGGAATAATCACTCCTAACCTTACAATGCTTACAATTCACACTGTTTTCATGATAAAGTGCTTCCCAAATACTTTATTGTAAGATGTTAGGAAGATGTTAAGAATGCCATTATCTAGTAGAGAAAATGAAACATAAATATTTATACGAGCTAAACATTTCACATATATAAATTGTACAACTCTATTGAATATTGTAATTCATCATAAATATGAACGATGCTATTGTTTGGGGTTCATTGATGTTTATATGTGATGGCTTTTCATACACCTGCTCTTATTCCCATAGCATGTTAAAGCAATGCAAAGCACAAGTTCTAGAAAGCTTTATTTTGGAAGAAATAAAGCATTGCCATGAAAATGTATGAGTCAAGCTGTCAAATTTCACAATATTCTAACCTAACAATGGCAGACCAATATGCAAATGATCTCATGAAGTGTTTTAAGGCACTTAATCTCACCAACCAAAGGCAAAAGAATGTGAACATGAAACAAACATGTTGGTTTCTCGATAAATCTTTCCCTACAGATCAGTTAGTAATTACTCAAAATATAAGTCTCTTCAGAAAATCAAAATGATGACTATGGTTCAAGGTGAACCAAAAGAGCTTTCATAATTTTTAATAAGTCAAGATAATCATGAAAACAAAATAGATAAGAAAAATAAACATAGATTTTAAAGCTTCATTAATTGTTAGAGTCTGTAAACAAGTCAAAATAACACCTGGCATTTTGCCAGGGGAATGTTAGAGTTCGTAAACAAGTCTGGATGGTACCTGGCAAAATGCCAGAGGGAGTGGTTTGAGAAGTAACAAAAGCCAGCCATTAAGTGTGGAGATTCCTTATTGGTTGACTGATGTATCTAGTTTATGCTAATTAGATAAGCTGTGTGGAAAGTATAAATACTGCTCCTGTCCTGGAATAAACGGCTCCCACTCCTGCTGTATCAATCTACACAAGTTCTTCGTCACCCCCCGGTTGTTTTGCTGCAGCCGGACTGCGGCAATTAATATTCAAACTCAAATCTTCAAGCCCATAATTTGTTGCCACTCCTCTTACATACAACAATAAAGGTAAGTGAGGTGTGAGGCCTTTATATAACCAGAAAAAAATAACCTCTGAGTATAAAATAACTATAAAACTGGCTCTTACTTAAGAAAACCACTTTAATTTTGATATAATCAAACTAATTATTTAAATTGCTGAACATCACCACCAAGTTTCATTTCCTATTTTCCGTTTTCAAAAATGTTAATGTACCTGGATTGCTAAGGTACTGTCAGGAAAAAAAAATACTGTCATGTAGTTCTCATACATTGTTGTACATAATTAAATTATTAAGCAGGTAATAAAATCTGTTATCCTAGTATTACCTGAACTAAAAAATAAGGTGAAATTATAATTTTACCCAAGAATGTAGCTCTGACAGTAAGAATAAATATGAATGACTCTGAATCTATAAAAATTATTTCTGGTAATTTGAAATTATCTAAATGTGCACCAGCTATTTATGTGATGCAAAAGTAATGGTTTACAAAAATTTAAACTGTAATCTAAAATTCTCCAATGTCTTTTTAAAAGTAAATTTAGATGAACTTAATCAAATAACTTCATTTGGAAATGGCAATAATGTATGCCTTAATATTCATATTTATTATATTTATACAATTTCAAATATCTTTTACCTACTTTTAATACTTAAAGAATGTTACTAGCCAATTAATATTAAAATACGAAAGTTTTGAAGAAGAAGAAGAAATAAACAAACAAATATAGGAGTTCCTGATCCAAGTTCCAAGAATGGACTCCTTTAGAATATTATGCCAAATGACATGATGTGTAACATTAAAACAGCCATGTCTGATTTTCAAAGAATTCTACAACCATATTCATAACAAAAAGACCCACACAGAAATAGAAGAAATTCCTAGTGGTAAATGATCTTTGCTAGACTCTTACATGATTATACTGAGATAAGACATTTAAAGACAGAGCAGTTAAAATGTGAAATAGTCAGGCACAGTGGTAAATTCTTATAATCTCAGTTATCCATGAGACAGAGGCAGGAGAATTCCAAGTCTGAGTACAGCTCTGGCAACTTAGAAAGATCCTATCTATATATAAATAAATAAGTAGGTCTAGGGAAATAGCTTAGTGATAGATAGAGCAACCCTGAGTTCAATCCCCAGTACCACAAAAGGAATAAAAGTGAAATGCATACAATGATAATTATCAGTTTTGTTCACTTTAATGGAGTTAAATTCTAGATAAATTCAAAAAATGTAGGAAACAATGCCCATAAGCACATATTGCAGATATCATAAACATATATGCCCTTAGCAAGTTTGTATGATTTGCTTGAATAATTTTAATAATTTTACTTGCCTAGTTTACTTTAGAAACATGAATCAGGGAGTTTTGCTTGAATATGTGCTAGATAAATCTATTGCCAGCTCACAGAAAAAAATTAAGAATGGACAATTTTATTATTTCCATTGTAGGATGTTATTTCCAGCATATTACAATGCAAGGCTGGATTTTTTTCCTTCAAATAATATAAAAATAGGTTTTGCCACAGAAGTAGATGCAAAATTAAATTTTATTTGAAGGATAATACATTTAAGATGGATATTAAGCTCTATAGAAAAGGAAATCATTTCAGACCTAATGAAGAGGGTTCAATCACTGACACGAGGGTTTTTTTAACCAATTAATTCAATAATGTGAAAATATCAAGGCAAATGCTGTTAAAAGAAAAAGGTTGGTAAATTTAAAGAATCCACAAAAAAATGTGACTATTTGTACTCAAGTAACAACAGTAGGGGCATTCTTCAAAACTTCTTTCAATGTATTCTAATCAAACATTAGAAGAAAGAGCACATTCATTAAAAAGAAGAAACCTGATTTTTCATTATTAAAAGAATGGATATATGTATCATCTGACATATATAACTAACAGACATTGTTCTTTAAAACAATATTCAAAATACAGAGTTCTCATTTTAAAAATTTCTGTGAACAAATGTTCCAAATAATGTAACATAAACATTCTGAATAGGTGGAATTTTTAGAAAACTCACGTGTATTGGATTATTTGATCCTGCCTCCTGCCTTCCTTTTTCATCTTCTCTGTCTAGTCCTGGTGGAAGACTGGGGCTGAAGGCCATTAGGTCGGTCTTGGGCGGGTCCTCGCCAGAACACACCCTCTGCCTCCTCTGTTGCGAGTATGACCAGCTCCCCACCGCGCTGGAGCACACCAGCGTGGGCTTCCCAGGTCCACACGCACTCTCGGTGGGCCCAGCCGAGCACCGCAGCGCTGTGTACAGTAGCAGCGTGAGCACCAACAGGCTGGACACCGCGCAGATGGCTATGATCAGATACACGTTGACATCCACCAGCGACTCTGCCTGGCCCGCAGAGCTGGCAAACATCGGTGAGGCGGCCTTTGGCGCCTGACCGCTCTCCACCAGAGATACCAGCACTGTGGCGGTGGCCATCAAAACCGGTTCACCGTGGTCCTTCACCAGAACCAACAGGCGCTGACGTGGCGCATCTGTCTCGTCCAGGGCACGCGTGGTGCTGATCTCACCGGTGTATAGCCCCACGCGAAATGGACTGCGAGCGCCACCTGCAGCTGGCAATAGCTCGTAGGAGAGCCACGCATTGTATCCGGAGTCTGCATCCACTGCACGCACCTTACCAACCACGTGGCCGGCGCCCACTGACCTTGATACCAGCTCGTTCACGTTCACGGTGCCACCTACAGGAGTAGGCAGCAGCGCAGGCGTGTTGTCGTTCTCGTCCAGCACGAACACTTGCAGAGTCACATTGCTACCGAGTGGCGGCACACCAGCGTCGCGCGCGCTCACTTGGAACTGCAGCAATTCAAGCTCTTCGTGGTCCAAGGGCTGCAGTGCATATACCTTGCCACTCTCAGCGTGCACCGACACGTAGCTCGACAGCGCACGCTCGCCCACCCGCCGCTCTACTAGAGAGTAGGATACCAGCGCATTTTCTTGCGTGTCCGCGTCTCGAGCGGATACCGTGAAGATGTGGGAGCCTGGCAGATTGTTCTCCTTCACGAATATGGTGTATTCAGACTGTGGGAACGCAGGTGCATTGTCGTTCACGTCGGCCACTTCCACCGACACAATGGCTGTGGTCCACAGCGAAGGCGAGCCCCCGTCTCGTGCAGTCACGACCAAATTATATGCTGACACTTGTTCTCGGTCCAGATCACTGTCCAACACCAGTGAATAATAGTTTTTGAAAGTGGACACAATCTTGAAGGGAACATCCGGCGTCAGAGAGCAGGTCACCTGGCCGTTGACACCGGAGTCGCGGTCGGATACGCTTATCAACGCAATGACTGTGGTTGGCCGAGTGTCCTCACGTACTGGGAGGGACAGAGAAGTCACAGTAATTTCAGGAGCATTATCATTGGTGTCTACGATTTCTACCCAGACTGTACAGTGACCTGCCATTGGGGGATTACCCTTATCTGTGGCCTGCACTTCAATTTCATAAAACTTATTTTCTTCATAATCTAAAGTTCCATTGACCCTCACTTCTCCATTATTTTCATCTAGTGTAAATAAGAGTTTTCCATTGGGCTTAATTGACATTAAGAAGTATGTTACTTCCCCGTTTACTCCTTCATCTCGATCGGTGGCGTTTAACTTTATCACAAGAGTTTCTTTAGCAATGTTTTCCATCATTCTCACCTTGTATTCTAATTGATCAAACTCCGGATCATTGTCGTTAACATCCAAGATAGAGACCAAGAGCTGAAGGGTGCCTGTGAGTTCTGGTTTCCCTCCATCTGTGGCAGTCAGTAGCAAATTAAGCTTCGGAGTTTTCTCTCTGTCCAGTGGCTTCTTTAATATAAGCGATAGTCTTTTAGTCGGCTTACTATTCGTTGGTGATTCTAAAGTAAAATACTCATTTTGACTTAGTCTGTAGGTCAATAGAGCATTCTCGCCTATATCCGCATCAGAAGCTCCCTCTAGCGGAAATCGCGAGTCTGGCTGCTTAGATTCAGAAATCAGCAGGCTTTGTTCTCTGAGAGAGAACGTTGGCGGGTTGTCATTAATATCTTTCACCTCCACCTCCACATGGAAAACCTGCAGCGGTCTGTCCACGATCACCTCCAGGTGGATGCTACACTCCGCGCTCCGCCCGCACAGCTCCTCCCGGTCGATCCGAGAATTCACAAACAAAATGCCATTCTGCAGATTTACCTCCAGAAGGTCCCCGCGGCCCTTGGACTCCACCCGGAACAAACGGGGCACCAGCTCTTCCAGTTCCAACCCTAGGTCCTGAGCGATGCGGCCCACAAAGGTGCCATGTTTAGCCTCTTCCGGGATGGAATAGTGGAGCTGGCCACTCCCTGCCTCCCAGGCTGCCAGAAGCAGAAGCGAGATCAGTAGTCGCAGAGTACCCAAACTCCTTCGCTGAAAACCTAACATTGCATACGAAGTTGGCTTCCAAAATAAGATTTTCTTACACTTACTGTACCAAATACTTCAATTCAGGTTTAAAATCTCGCTGAGTTTTTGAGAAGTTTCGAAGGATCCTTTCATAGTAGCATCCAACATGATGGAGTCGTTTTTTAGGAGGAATGCCTGACCAGACCAATCCATGAGAGGACTCTTTCTTTCAAGCAAAGAGCGACACCTTGTGCCTGAAATTGTGAGTACTGTGCACTGCATCCATCACCCCAGAATTTTCATGTTTTACCTTACTTTTTCCTAAACAATTCCAAAGTGATTTTTATGGAACGTTCAGATTTTAAGTTGTATTGAAATCAAATATATGTGGAAATGGCACTTTGTTTCTTGAATAACATCAATTTTAAATTCTTTCTATGGCTCAATTAGAATTATAAAATTATTATTTCACTTATCTAAGTACTTAGAGAAAAAGAGAGTTCACTTATTTAAAAAACCTGTTGGAAAAACAGAGTTAATGTTTACCTAAAGTATTGTCCCTCACACAAAAATATTATCAAATCTAAAATACATATTATCAAAATTGAATTATTTTACTTCCAACTTCCCTTGTAACTGGGTCTGCTAGAAAACTCAAAAATAATTGTGACACTGGAGCTTGTTTCTTGTTTTTGCAGAAGTTAGGGCCCTTTGTATGCTAGGCAAGCCCTCTACCACTAAGCTACATGCCTCACCCTCGAAGAAAAACTTTAAATCTTAGTAATAACAACTCTTCAGACTTTATGTTCTGCATACTATGCTTTTATCTATATGAATATGCCTTCTCATGTCTCTTTTAATTTTTAAAATTGACATGTAATACTTGTACAAATTTATGGGGTACAATTGAATGTTTTCATTTGTGTATATATTGTGTAATAATCAATCCAGGGTAATTAGCATATCTACCACTTTAAACATACATCATTTCATTGTGATGAAACATTCAAAATCATCTCTTCTGGCTATACTGAAATATTAAAGCACTATTGTTAACTATATGATATCTTTTTTCCCTCAGTTCTGATTCTTAATTATTTACATTTAACTGTCTTCTTGTTACAAGTGACTTTATAGCCATTGCAGAACAATAGGAAAATAATCAGAAAAATAAATAATGTATTTTCAAGTTTGTTAATTTAAAATACAGAATTTACAAAGGAAAAGTCCCTTGGCCTAGATGAATTATGAATTTTACATAGATGATTTCTCACATAAGTTACATTGTTAATACTATGAGACATCCAAATGGAACATTAAGTAATGGAGGAATAATATAATAGAAATAATCATTTCAACTGTAAAATGATTTTTTTCAATGAAATAACTCCATGAAGTTAAAAATCACCACAAAAAATACCTGTACCATTTTGCTATTTCCAAGTCACCAACATTGGTTTTCTCAATCCAATCAAAATACACTAACTAAAATGGCTTGTTATTGAAGAATTTGGGAATTTCAATAATAAATTCATCCAGAACAAGCAAAGTGATTTCTAATATATCTCCTCCGAGTGTCTGAAGATGTGCTTAGAGTTTGGAAATGGAATTTCATAGAATACTAAGTGAAATGGGATTTTTTTCTCTTTAGATATACATGACAGTAGAGTGTATTTTGACATACATATATGGAGTATAACTTATTCTAATTAGGATCCCATTCTTGTGATTGTACATGATGTGGAGTTTTACTGTTGTGTATTCATATATATGAACATAGGAAAGTTATGTCTGATTCATTCATTTGTATTAAATGTATCTGGAATATACTTTCCTATTCCCATCCACTCTCCATTCCCTTTATTCCCCTTTGTCTAATCCAATGAACTATTATTCTTCCCTCTCCTGCTTGTTGTGTGTTAGCGTTCCTATATCAGAGAGAACATTCAGCCTTTGGTTTTAGGGGATTGGCTTATTTCACTTAACATGATACTCTCTAGTTCCATCCATTTACTGGCAAATGCCATAATTTCATTTTTCTTTATGCTAAGTAATATTCCATTGTGTGTATATAATACAGAAAATCAGAATTGTTGATGTGAGTTTTCATTGCCCGACACTGTTATTTGGTTATGTTTTCTTTGTCTTCTCATAACCATTTAGGAGAAAAAAGATGACACAATGTAAGTTTAGAGTAGAAAGTGACTCAGAATAAAAATTCTAGCTTAAATATTTTGTTACATAAAGTTGCTTAATTTTATATAGTTTTTTTAAGAGTCAAGATCTTCCAGGCTGCCTTCAAATTTGGGGGCTCAAGCTATTTTCTTCCTCAGTGTTCATTTTGATGGATCATCTGCAACCCAAAATTATTGCAATGGCATATGGAAAAAATGGTCATCATACTTCTTTGTTGATATTTTCATTAATCTTGACTTTAAAAATACATTCTACTACTAATTTGTGATTTTGTTTCACTTTTTTCATATTTACTCTTTTCCCAATATTGTCATAACATTAAACTCTTATTAAAGTAAATTAAAATTCTGTTTTAAAACTTAAAAAGTATACACATTTTATGGCACTGAATTCTATTATACACCTGTCATATTCTATTATACATCAGTCATGTGAACTTTTAATTCAAATACAACATTTGACCAGATAACAGTATATTTAAAATGACATTTGAAGCATGTCAATTTTTTTATTTTTCAACAAAATAAGTAACAGATTTCCATTTAGGGGAAATTATGGGAACTGGAAATTGAGATGTTATGCACAATGAGGTGTCTTCCTAAATAGAGATATAAATATGAGAAATTTAACTCATGATAGATGATAATATATATTTGAATTAAAAACAGATGTTAATTTAGGTGTCAATTTTCAATAATATGATATTTTGTGATTATACAAACTGGCCCTGGGCAAATGGCAAGTCATTGAAACATTCAATATGGTGTGTGAGTCAATGATCCATCTTTTTCATTGGCTATAATATTTCAGGTGTCACCATCTAAATCACCCAGAGAGAAAAAATGCTCTATTCAAACTCATTTTGGGGGATGAGCCTAATATTTGGCTCTAGGCTAATGCCAATAGGTCATATCATTATCCTAATTAACTTTTACTTTGCAAAATCAACTGAGGACTAAGGAATTTTGTTCTAGACCTTTACAAAATTAATTTGGTTAGCTTTAAATGCTACCTGTGTAACCTGCTAGTCCTAGTTAGAATGCATAGTTTATGTTATATTAGTGCTATATTTCTTGAAAACATAAAATACAGAAATTAATTTTGTTGCTATTCACAGAACCTCAGGAAGCTCTTTAAAATCACATTAAAATTCAATATCCAACCACTGTAGGATCTACTGAATGAGGCTGACTCTGCTCTAGCATGACTTATTTAGTAAACACAATTTCAAATCCTTTGTTTAGTTGGCACAAATCTCTCAGCCAACAATAAGACTGAAGAAGGCTGAACTGAGAAAGACCTACATACATTTAAAGATTTTAATGGAAAACCAATGCCTTTAAAGCTGTTAAGGAAGTATGAAACATTGTAAACACTTCTGAATCCTTTGACCATGTTCAGGATCCTTGAAGTTACATTATCATTTATACTTGTCTAAAACACTATCCTTATTCATGACAAAGAACAAACAAGGTCACTCTTGCTGGGAGGCATTAGCCAAGTAGGTATGACAATTTCCTTGCCAGCGTACCCCATGTTGCAGTGACATTGAATGTAGGTGACCTTGCTCAAGGACCAGGGCGGATTAGGGTGTTCCCGGTTTAGAAAATCGGGTTTAGGGCGTTCCAGGTTTAAGATTATTCCTGCTGGGAATAGGGCGTATCCTGCTGCCTGAGTTCCCCTTGAGTTCTCATGGGATTCAGACAGTATTTTTTGGGAGATAGAAGCCCAGTGGGAGTGGATTTGGGCAGAGAACGTGGATTTCCCCAGAACGTGATTGTAGACGGCTGGTGTGAGTTCGGGAATAAAGAGTTGCTGTTTGAATCTACAAGCTGTGTGGTGGCTCGTGATTGTGTGCCCAGCCGGACTGCGGCATTTGTGCCCAGCCAGACTGCGGCACACTCTTCTATGTGATATTTGACTTTGGTGTTTTGCAGCAATATTAGAAAATGCAGCCTATGATGTTTCTCATGTGTTAAATAACTCTTCTTTATCTCTATCACTTCTAAACAATTGATCCATAGTTCTTATAATACAATTCTTAATTATTTACTGATTAAATAATATAAATGCCTCTGTCAATGTGGCAATTGATTAAAACGTGATAATCATGAACTCTCCTAAGAAAAACTTTCACCAAAAAAAATCCTAATATCCACCTCAATCATAGCATTGCACAAAGTTAATGATTAATATAATCATGAAGAGCCTTTTAAAGCAAAACAGAAAGAAGGATTTCCCTGTATACAGATTGCACTCAACTTTCATAACCAGCACTATTTGATAAAAGAGAAAAGATTTACTGAAGAAAATTCTACATTATGATGAATAAAAGAATGGCTCTGGGTCTGGAGTTGTGGCTCTGTGGTAGAGTACTCGCCTAGCACAAGCGAGACCCTGGGTTCGATCCTCAGCACCACATAAAAATAAAATAAAAGTATTCTGTCCAACTACAACTAAAAAATAAAATATTAAAAAAAGAATGGCTCTGGATTGTGAAAGATATGCATTTGAACATTATCTCCATTATGTACTAGTTGAAGGGAACTGGAGAAGATAAATATCTCAGATTCCTTTATATTTAAAATTTGGATAGCTCTATGTACAGTATTTTACAAATTATCATAAATGAATTAGGATTAAATGAAAAGATGTATTTTAAGCCCTTCACACCATGCCCAACAAATAGAAATAGCTTATACATGGTGGTTTACTATATAATCACCAACATTTGCTCTTGTTCTCCCCCATCTACAGATGGAGAGATTCACGCATAATATATGAAGGCATGGGTGATGTTAATCCCTTTTCTAAAGATTTTCCTAATGTTTATCTTCATGGAAATCATCCTCCTAAAGTTCCTCTTTCAAAACAGAAAATAGCCACTAACACCTTCAAAGTGTTTATTTGGACTTTACCCTGTCCATAACTTGACTCTCCTTCCAAATACAAATATGTATTCACACAGCAGAATCAAAGAGTATCTCATTTGTAATTGAAGTCCAAAAGAACAAATTTGTAATTAACCTTCCATACTATTTAATAGATATCCTTACAGGTTTAATTACAAATTCTCTGGGATTTCTTTAAATAAAACTCACTTGGTGATGGTGCTGAAACCACAATTTTTTTTTTTCTTGCAGTGTTGATAATTGAACCCAGGGTTTTGTGCCTGTTAGACAAGTGTTCTACCACTAAAGCTACAATCCTAACCCAAAACAAAATATACTTTGTGTTAAATGTATCTGGAGTATACTGTGTTAAATTCTGAGTAATCAACAATGAGGTACTCAAGTGGAAGTACCTTTACTGATATTTCATTCTTCCTATGCTTAAATTATTAATGTCATTTTAAAGACCACACATCTTGCTAAGCACAGGCAACAATACTGCACTTCACCATTTATGCGAAGAATTTCTTAAACTGAAAGCACAAGTGCTAATTTTCCTACCTAAAATATTTCAGTACAGCCTCATGACAAGTGCTAAGAATGGAAGAAAATGAGTATGATCCATGCCCAAATAAATCTTCAAAATAAGTAGAAGAGCTCAATAAATTAAACTGGAAGAAAGTAGCAATGAGTTTAACAGGTAATTAAGCAGAATTGACATCATGTTAGTAAGGGGGAAAATATTGTCTATCTAAAAAAGTAGACTTTGAAAAAAATGAGTTTTATAATACAAGAGTATTAATGACCCTCCCCCAAAATACTAAACGAACCTCCAAAGGCAAGGCTAAAACTCCACCCACTGCAAAGACCATCTCAAAAAAGCATGCCATTGATTATAAAGAAAAAATTGTATATAAAACGAAGCTGCCTCAAACATGCCCATCTCATTTAATGACAGATAATTTAAAGATATAGAAAGTTAAGAAATAAACATGTTTTAAACTCAAATTATAAAATAAAATGGTGGTAGTTTTGAATATATAAATATGATAAGAAGTGGAGGACACCAATTAGAATAGGAAGAATGAAATTGCTGGAAAACTGAGAAGTGGATTGGAGCCTTGTCCGTATTCTACATTTCCCATCATGATCTTTGCCTTCTTCCTAGCAAACTTAACTTTCCAAAGCAAGATGAAACGTTGACTCATCCTATTTCAGTATTGCTATTTTGTTATTATATTTAGCAACTGAAGAATATTCCTAAGAAATATTCTCAATGACTGTAGTAAAAAGTGATGAAGATGGCTAGATTTGCAGTAGGCTTTCAATAAACCATCTAAAGAGAAAGGCAAAAACAAATTTAAGAAAACAATGAATTTACAATAATAAATTGGTGAACTAATATGTCAGTGGCATTAACGGGAATGAAATACCTCACAGTATTGCTGTACTCACATTCTCAAAGATCTCCTGTTGGACTCCACTATCTCCAGAACCTGAACCAGGAGGAATACTAGGGCTGAAAGCCATGAGGTCAGTCTTGGGTGGGCTCTCACCAGAACACACCTGCCTCCTCTGCTGAGAGTATGACCAGCTCCCCACCGCGCTAGAGCACACCAGCGTGGGCTTCCCAGGCCTGCACGCGCCCTCAGTGGGCGCCTCTGAGCACCGCAGTGCGGTGTACAGTAGCAGCGTGAGCACCAACAGGCTGGATATCGCACAGATGGCAATGATCAGGTACACATTGACATCCACCAACGCCACCTCTGCGTCCGCAGCTCCAGCTGACGCTCGCAAAGAGGCCTTTGGCGTCTGACCATTCTCCACCAGAGACACCAGAACTGTGGTAGTAGCGGTCAGTGCCGGCTCACCGTGGTCTTTCACCAGAATCAGCAGGCTCTGACTGGGTGCGTCCGCCTCATCCAGCAAGCGCGTGGTGCTGATCTCGCCTGTGTACAGCCCCACGCGGAATGGACTTCGAGCACTGCCCTTCGCAGGTAGCAGTTCATAAGACAGCCACGCATTGTAGCCAGAGTCTGCGTCCACCGCCCGCACCTTCGCCACCACGTGGCCCGCACCAACTGACCGCGACACCAGTTCGCTCACAGAGCCGCCTGCTCCTTGTGTCCAAGGTCTCAGCAGTGCTGGCGCGTTGTCGTTCTCATCCAGCACGAATACTTGTAAAGTCACGTTGCTGCCCAGGGGTGGCACACCAGAGTCCCGCGCGCTCACCTGGAACTGCAGCAGCTCCAACTCCTCATGGTCCAAAGGCTGCAGCGCATACACCTTGCCGCTCTCCGCGTGCACTGACACGTAGCTCGACAGTGCACGCTCACCCACCCGCCGCTCCACCAGAGAGTAGGACACCAGCGCATTCTCCCGCGCATCCGCGTCATGAGCAGACACCGTGAAGATGTGGCAGCCTGGCGGGTTGTTCTCCTTCACGAACACCGTGTACTCGGACTGCGCAAACACTGGCGCATTGTCGTTCACATCTGCCACCTCCACCAACAAGCTGGCTGAGGCCCACAGCGAAGGCGAGCCCCCATCCCTTGCAGTCACCACCAACTCATACTCAGATATGGTCTCGCGGTCCAGGGTGCTGTCCAACACCAGCGAGTAGTAATTTTTGAAAGTGGACACCAGCTTGAAGGGGATGTGGGGTGTCAGCGAGCAAATCACCTGACCATTGGCTCCAGCGTCTTGGTCAGACACGCTAATTAGGGCAACGACAGTGCCCACTTGAGCATTCTCTTCTACTGGGAGAGCCAAAGAAGTGACAACTACCTCAGGAGAATTGTCATTTTCATCGAGGACTTCTACTAAGACAGTGCAGTGACCAACCATAGGTGGAGCTCCTTTATCTATAACATCTACATGAATTTCATAAATGTTTCTATCTTCAAAGTCAATATAATCATTTACTTTTATTTCTCCTGTCATTTCATTTATTAAAAATTTCCTTCTTATGATGGCTGGGACCAAAGAGCTAAAAGAATACACCATTTCCTTGTTTATTCCTTCATCCGCGTCAGAAGCATTTAGCCATATTACTAACGTTTGATTCAACTGATTTTCATACATCTTCACTTCATAAACGGATCTGTCAAATGTAGGAGCATTATCATTAGCATCTAATACAAAAATGAACACAGAAACAGATCCTGTGAATTCAGGTTTGCCCCCATCCGTTGCAGTCAATAACAACTTAAGCTGTGGATTTTCTTCACGGTCTAGCAGTTTTCTCAAAACAAGGACTGGGAACTTGCCTTTGTCTTTTTTGCTTATAATATCAAGAATGAAAAACTCATTTGAACTGAGTTTATAAGTAATCATAGCGTTCTCTCCAACATCTGCATCAGAAGCGCCTTCCAGCGGAAATCTAGAGTCAAGCAGTCTAGACTCGGGTATTGAGATCTTTTGTTCTGTTACGGAGAACATCGGAGGGTTGTCATTAATGTCCTTCACTTCCACCTCCACATGGAAAACCTGCAGCGGTCTGTCCACGATCACCTCCAGGTGGATGCTACACTCCGCGCTCCGCCCGCACAGCTCCTCCCGGTCTATCCGAGAATTCACAAACAAAATGCCATTCTGCAGATTTACCTCCAGAAGGTCCCCGCGGCCCTTGGACGCTACCCGAAATAGGCGGGGCACCAGGTCTTCCAGTTCCAACCCCAGGTCTTGCGCGATGCGGCCCACGAAAGTGCCGTGTTTGGCTTCCTCCTGGACCGAGTAATGGAGCTGACCGCTCCCAGCCTCCCAAACTGTCAGGAGCAGAAGCGAGAGCAGCAGACACCGGGCTCCCGGAAGGCCGGATCTGGCGATCAACATCCTACCTTTCTCTTGTCTTACAAGTCTATGTCTTACAAGTCTATATCCCATCCGATATCTTTCTTCCATTTTTTATAGAAACGGTTGAGATCTAAGAAAATAGCTACTTCCTAGACCTTGAGAGACAGTGGATTATTCCTTTTTTTCTAAAAGGCTACTTATATTGTGGACAACAGCGACATCCGGTGGCCTAATTCGTAAGTACAATTCCATGAGTTTAACTTTTCTTTCATTCATCTCTTATTTCTATATGTGTTTATCTGGACTTTCAAACCCTTATAATAGTCTCTTGTATATAATAATATTGACTTTATTCATGGCACAACATTTTATTTGACACAGAATTTCGGAGAACTAATTTCTTCCTTAACCACTTGATTATCTTAGCTAAATTTCAAATGCTCTCAAGTTTGCATACTGTGTAGAAGCATTTTATTGGATGACAATAGTAGGTCTCTTCAAGTTATGATATTTACTTCACTTTGTCATTATTTTAAGGTTCAATGAACCTTATTTTTACACTAATCACAAGCATCAATTACCCATGAGGTGTTTGCGACTCCTAAATTCCAGTCATCACTAAAATGTAGAGAGATTACTGTCTTCAACATCAGACATTTCTCCATTTAGATTTTTATTATCCTACTTACTAGTAATGTGACTTTACATCCTCAACCATTCAACCTTTACATGTTTCACTTTCTACTTTCATAATAGTAAAAAATTGGGTTGTGAGTTATGGTATATTAAGTGCCTGGGATAGCATTTTAAGGAGAATGAGTGCTTCATTAGTAAGAATTACTCTCCAGCCTCAATTTGGCCACATTTGTTTTCATGATTCTCAAGAACAAATTTGGGTCCTCAGGAAAAATTATTATGTATAGAATAGTGTCACTCTACAATGCTTTCATCATTGCTATTGGACATGCTGAGACTTTTCTTGTCTCTAAGAAGACAGAAAAGTACATTTATTAAGAAATCAATTGTATGGGGAGAAGTTTCACTTTATTATATCTTACATGAGCAAAAAGAATCTTATGATTCTAATTCACAAATGTACCACTTCTACTTTCATAGTCAACAGCTTACATCCCTGTAACATTTAATTTTTTAAATACCAAAAAGACATAGTTCTGTAATCTAATAGTTTTATCAATGTCAGTAAAGTTTGTCACACTGCCTAAAGTAAAAAAAAAATATTTTTTCCTCTCTCAAAGTTCTTGGAATCAAATATTCAGAAAGCAAAACTCTCCACTAAGAGATCTATGTAGCTTTAAAATCCTGAGGTTTTCTCTTTTTCCAAAAAATCTTAAATATAATAGAAAGTGTATCCTTTCCAAATGATTTTTTAAATTTAATAATGTTATGGCTTATAAAAGATATATTAAACATATCAATAATTTTAAATTACTTTAGTCATTATTAAAAGCTGGACAGTAGAATAATATTTATAAATAGAAAAATTGACAGAAATGAGGATCACTTGATCCATCAGCTTATGTGCCTATTTTCTTATAAGGCATACATTTAAATGTAATGAATCATCCATCCATTCACAATACTAATGTTCAATCTGAGCTATTATCTGGAATCTTAAAATAAGTTTATAATTTAGTTTAGGACGTAATTTAGTTTGTCCTATCTAGTAACTATCACTTGAGAAGAACTAGTCTAAGAGGATAATCAAGTTAACATAAAGGATTAAATTACCAGTTAATCAATATATACTCATGAATAATAATGAGTAAATTTTATAATTCAGTGCTCAAAACATTAAGTCTAAGAGGCAAGAAGAAATTTGAGGGGAAAGATGACATTTATAGCACTACTCAATTCATATCACATAATTGCATACAACACATAATACCTAAGCCCAAGATCAGTGGCACATGGAACCTGAAAAACATTCAAAGACAAATATATACAAGTGTAAGTCTGAATTCAAGGTAACATGTGTTGATAGACATAGGTTTGATGACAGGAGCTGAGGGAATATTCATTTTGAATGAAGTAAAATTCGAAAAACAGACTGTGTTGAAGCATGCCTCAGGCATATGATTTAGAAGAAACTGAAATATTTTATTTAAAATTTACTTCAATTTTCATAATCATTATTGTGGCCATTTTGATTCCTAAATAGAGAAATTGTTTTCCAGGATTTTAAGAAAATTACTTGTTGCAGTAAAAGATACTGAGCAGTGCTGAACAACCATATCAAGAAAGTCTTCATTCAGAGGAATTAAATGCAAAAACAAACTTAAGAGTTTATAATAAACAATAAAACTAGACCAAACTACAATGCAAATTTTAGAAATAAATGATTTAGAGTAAATTTAGAATAAATGATAGAGTGGTGTTCATGCTTACTGAATGAATAACAACTGCATTGGCTGTAACACTGAATGGTTGTCAAGTGCTATGGCATCCAGAATAATTACAGATTCCAAAAATTAATTTGACACATAATAATGCCTGTTTAATATACAGTTTAGGACGTTTCTCATTAAGAAAGTTGAAACAGGACTGGGGTTGTGGCTCAGCGGTAGAGCACTCTCCTAGCACATGTGAGACCCTGGGTTCGATTCTCAGCACCACATAAAAATAAATAAATAAATAAAGGTAAAAAAAATTTTAAAAAGAAAGTCAAAACAAAAGTCTGTTCCAAACTTATGAGATTCAAAGTAAAACTATGAACTTTTACTTTGAAAGTCTGGTAGAGTTATAGAAAAATGAAAAAGAATATTTAAATGTACCACAGGAGCTGAAAAATATCATTCAATAACAAATAACAAAAATAAATTCTAAGATAACCTACCTTCCCAGGGGAGTCCAAAACAACAGGTGGTTCTCCCACTCCTTCTACAGATCCAGGACACGGAGGAAGACCTGGGCTGAAGGCCATGAGGTCGGTCTTGGGTGGGACCTCTCCAGAGCACACCCTCTGTCGTCGCTGATTCGAGTACGACCAGCTGCCCACCGCGCTGGAGCACACCAGCATGGGTTTCCCAGACCCGCACTCGCCCTGGGTGGGCGCCGCTGAACACCGAAATGATATGTACAACAGCAACGTGAGCACCAACAGGCTGGACACTGCGCAGATGGCAATGATCAGGTACACGTTGACATCCACCAGCGTTGCCTCCTGGCTGGCAGTACCCGCCAAGCTTCTAGAAGCGGTCTTTGGGGTCTGGCCGCTTTCCACCAGAGACACCAGCACTGTGGCGGTGGCAGTCAGCGCTGGCTCCCCATGGTCCTTCACCAGGACCAAAAGGCGCTGACGCGGCGAGTCGGTCTCATCCAGGGCGCGAGTTGTGCTGATCTCGCCGGTGTACAGTCCCACGCGGAAGGGACTGCGAGCGACGCCCACCGACGTCTGTAGCTCATAAGACAACCATGCATTGTAACCTGAGTCTGAATCCACAGCGCGCACCTTTGCCACCACATGGCCTGCACCTACAGACCAAGGCACCAGCTGGGTCACCACTAAGCTCACGTCCCCCGTCCCAGACCCCAACAGCGCTGGCGCATTGTCATTTTCGTCCAACACGAACACCTGTAATGTCACGTTGCTGCAAAGTGACGGATCGCCAGAATCGCGTGCGCTCACTTGAAACTGCAGAAGCTCCAATTCCTCGTGGTCCAGAGGCTGCAGCGCATACACCTTGCCGCTTTCCGCGTGCACTGACACGTAGCTCGACAGCGCACGCTCGCCCACCCGACGCTCCACCAGAGAATAGGACACCAGAGCGTTCTCCTGAGCGTCCGCGTCATGCGCAGACACTGTAAAGATGTGGCAGCCTGGCGGGTTGTTCTCCTTCAAGAACACAGTGTACTCGGGTTGTGCAAAAGCCGGTGCGTTGTCGTTCACGTCAGCCACCTCCACAGACACACTGGTGGTGGCCCACAGCGAAGGTGAACCTCCGTCCCTGGCGGTCACCACCACTTTATAGTCAGATACAGTCTCGCGATCCAGGGCACTGTCCAGCACCAACGAATAGTAATTCTTGAAAGTGGACACTAGCTTGAAGGGGACATGAGGCATCAGGGAGCAGGTCACTTGTCCATTCACGCCTGCATCTAGGTCAGTCACACTGATCAGAGCAATAACTGTTCCAAGTTGTGCATCCTCTTTAACAGGGAGCCAGACAGTTTTCACAGTTAACTGTGGAACATTGTCATTAGTGTCCACCACTTCCACAAGAACTGTACAGTGACCAGCCAGTGGTGGAAAGCCTTTATCAATTGCCTCTACTTGAATTTTGTAAGTTTTGCTTTCTTCAAAATCAATACGTCCTATCACTGTGATTGTCCCACTCACTTCATCTATGTGGAACTTGGATTTTATATCTGGAGAAACATCACTGGAGAATGAGTAAGCAATATCCCCATTCACTCCTTCGTCTAAATCTGAGGCATTGGGGTTAATTACCAGCGTTCCTATAGGAACATTTTCTGGTAATCTCACTGTATAGAGTGTCCTGTCGAATACTGGAGCATTGTCATTGGCATCCAGCACTGTGATGAATAACTGAACGGTGCCAGTCAGCTCGGGTTTGCCTCCGTCAGTAGCAGTGAGCAATAGGTAAAGCTCTGGAGCTTCTTCTCGGTCCAAAGGTTTGCGTAACACAAGTCCAAGAGGTTTTACCTGCTCGTGGCTGGGTGGTACATCCAGTGAGAAATACTCATTGGGGCTCAGTCTGTAAGTCAGCAGAGCATTGGCT